TCCTCCCGCCGTTCTGTTTGTTTCTTTGCTTATGTGGGAAATGTGTACATGTATGTTTTTCACCTGGCCCACTTTCCATATCCATGCTATTTCCATTTCATTTTTTCAAGTTCCATGATATATTTCAGTGACTTTTAAAGATTGCTTGCAGTAGTTTATGAAGCAACTGAAAAAAATGTTTAAAACGTTAAATACAAATTTATTTTTCTGAGGAAGGGTATACATTTAGCTTGAGTTCAGGATGCACCATTCTATGTATCTAGTCTGAATTGTGTGTACTGTGGTCCATGGAACATAACTTCTTCATCAGACCCTTGATCTCTGTTCTGCACTACAGTTTCTCTTTTAGGAGCTCTTTTCTGTACACTGGTTCAGTTTTTCACTATCCTTTGGAACTGTGGTTGCCAGAGCTGGACCCAGTATTCCTTGAACCATCTCCCCAGTCCCACGTTGCTTCTCTATACCTGTGCAGTGTTCCCTGTGTATATGGTGAATTCTTATTTATACCCTCTCATAATCCCTACAGCACTGAGCTGGGTGCTGGCAGTTTATCTGCTTGCAGTTATCTGCCAATAGCTGTGATCTGCTGATAGCTTTTTTCAGTTGCGGTTTCCAAGATGAGTCTGTCTTTAGAGGCTAGTGTATTCCATTTGACTGCGTGAATCTACTTGTTGACTTTAATGAGCTCAGTTTATCTAGTGATGAGGTCCTGTCTTTCTCACCTTTTGTGGCCTATTTTTGTGACCTATGGTTGTATATTTTCCTCTAGAAATTTTCCTCCAGAATCCTAATGAAGGAATTAGATTTCTTAATAAGGAAATTTAAAACCAAGACTTTAAAACCAGGTAATATGGGAACTTATTAGAAATACTACTACTACTACTACTACAAATGACATTTGTCTGGTAATTTGACTCAGGTAATTTTTCAGTTTTTAATCATTTATCAAATTAAGGTAGCCCACAGTATGGTGCTTTGTTTTGAAAATGATACTGTCCTGTGGGCGTAAGTAGAGTGCCATAGGGAAACGCAAAGATATCAGGTCAGTGATGCACTTTTGTGCATACCCCAATCTTGCTCTTACTGTTTGTTTCATCTCTGACAGTATGAACTAACCCTAATGTTATACCATTCTTCTTATCATTGACATGATCATTTGTCTTGACTTTCAAATGTGGATTTCAAGAATGGTAGGAACCACTGAAAATCAGGGCTGGTAACCCCTGGATATGGAGCCTTGAAATAGGCATGACTTACTTTCTATTTGCTACCATCAGGTATAGTAGTAGTTGTAACAGCACTGTTACACCAGGTATTTGCTCTTAGCTGTACCTGTTGTAGTTAATGGAAGTTTTCTTCATGCCAGTCAAAAGATCAGAGAACTCTCCTAATGTTAATTGTTCTGTATCTTTGAAGCCTGTTGACTGGATGAAATATTACTGTATTTATATTAAAGGAGGAGCACTAAGAAACCTCATTTAGGTTGCTATACTGAAGGAAAGGAAAGTTACTAGTCATAATGTTTGTGCCTGGAAGCTGGCTTACAAAGTAGCCCTTGTACTATTTAAATATGTGCCAATTTTTGTTATATGTGTTGTCTAACTTGTACTGTTAGCTCAGCAAGGCAGGGAATGTACTTTATTTACTATGTCAATCTCATCTTTCAAATTTCGTCATAGTGAGCCTCATTTCAGACAGTTAATTAACACAATTTAAAGCTTGCATAATCAGAGCATCTTCTCTTAAGCACACTGAGTAAAATGTATGACTGTATAAGCAGGTTGTTTATCCCAACCAGCTGTCATTGTGCCTTCGTCGCAGTGTAGGTTACAACACTGGGCTGAGTTTCAGCTCACTTTCCTTTAGGTGTCTTTAAACTGGCTGTTGAGATTAGTTTTATACTGAGCGGAAATAGTGCAGGGCTTGATCCAGCTGACCAGCTGTTTCTTCAGGATAACAGAATAACATGAATGCCCTGGATAATACACTGCGTTGACTAGATTTTTCTCCACTTCAAGGAGACTACGTTGCCATGTTAATGTATAGCTGTTTAAATCTGGGTACTCATACTTAGTCTGTCTTCTCCCCCCTAGTTGGGGAGCCTTAACTCTTAGACTAAGGACCTGTTTCTTGTGTTCAGCAGCCCATCAATATCTGACTAACATATGTTCAAGGGAGTGGCTGTAGTTGGAGAGGGTAAAACAGTCATACCACGTCGTGCCTACAGCTGCAGGAAAGGTGTTCTTTTGCAAAGTAGAAAATCATGTAAAGGCATTCACCTGGTAAAGGAAATGTACATCCTGTCACTGCTGATCTCTTTGGTAAAAAAAAGTTTAAACAGGACTAACTTCTTCTGAATGTGTTTTGAGTGAAGATTAGTAAAGATGCCTACCTGCCAGCAGTAAGAGTTAGTGAGCTGTGATATGAAGCATAGTAATCCTGCCCATGATTCAGAGATAAGGAGAGAAAAAATACAGTATGGATCCCAAGTGCCTAGTTTGGATGGTCCTAAGTAGTTTAGGGGCTTGTTTTGGTTGATAAATTTTAATAGTAACATAGATTACTTCATAGAATGGTTTGGGTTGGAAGGGACCTCAAAGATCATCTAGTTCCAACCCCCGTGCCATGGGCAGGGACACCCTCCACTAGACCAAGTTGCCTAGATACTACTTATTGCACTAGAAAAATGCTTGTAAATATAAGAGACTTTCAGGAGCACAGAAGTAGTAAAATACATCGTTATTCCTAAAAGTGAGTGGCGATAGGGTATTTGACATCTTTTTATGTAACTGAAAAATCATTGTTGATGGGAATTTTTTAAAGCGAACAAGTCATATTCTCTACCTTCTAGAAACTGAGTACTAATTTTGAAAATTAATTTGTTTGACTAGTCTTTTGACTTTAGTGGGGCTAATTGCATAAGCAGGCCATTTGTGAGATTGGTCTTGATCCTTACAATGTAAACACTCTTCAAAAATTCCATTGATATTCCTGTATAAAGTCTGCAGATATAAATGTGAACATTGTTGTGAAATTAGAACAGACATAGATATTTCAAATTACCAATAATAGGAATATATTTTATGTATAACAGCTAGGTCCTATCTGGGAGTGTATATACACTTCTTTGTATAATTCATATTTGATGACTCATTTTCATAAAATTGATCTTGTCTATTGATTTAAAAATTATAAGCTGTTGGATATTCTCTAATTCTGGAAGTTTCAGATGGGAAGGAAAAACAACCAGCTTCTACATCTGTTTTTGTATCCCACTGAGGAGGAGCTAACAGTGTCTTTCAAAGATAATGTGAACGCAATGAAGACTGTTCTGCAATGAACAAAAGCAGAGTGGGTCAGTTTACCAATACTCTGTATTCCCCTGCTTTCGCTCAGAAGCAGTGCATATAATTAGAGCTTTAAAAAGAAGAAAAAGTGTGGCAAAACTATCCAGTTACTGGAATAAACATTTCTTTTACCTACATACTGCATTGTGCATTGAATACATGCAAACAAAATTTGAGACAGATAATGGAGGCTTTCCTTCAGGGTCTGGTTTTGTAGGTTGATTCAAGGCTCTCCGCCACCCACATTAAAGCTCATGCCAAGTATTTCAGTTGTTTAGAGTGAGCTGTTTTCCAGACATTTATATTTCTCTATTCTAATCGTGTCCAGGTGCATGAAACTTGTCCAAAGCTTTTGCTTGCATAACTAGATTAAATAATAATAAAAAACCTACCCTTCTTTTTTGTATTTGTGTGATTTGCACTGCAGTAGTCTGTGGGTGCATAGGATTAGCTTTTTGGTCAGCTGGGCTGGGTCTAGTCTGAGCCACACATAGCTAATGCTGTCCACCAGGCAATGTAAAAACAAGGAAGGGAATAAATGGAAGTGTAATGTTCAAGCCACTTCAGCAGGCAGTTTGTGGTAAGTATTTCTAACGGTCTGTAGAAATCATTGACAGGAAAAAGATATTCCCTCATAATTAGAGCTCTTTCACAATGCACAGAACTCAGATTTCTTTGTCTAGAGAAGAAAAAAGATTATTTTTATTGTATTCTTTTAATTTCATTATGCTGTTTGGTGTCTAGAAGGATATATTGATCCAGATGACATTCCCTGTTGCATGACAGATAATACCATAAGAAAAGGTATATTTTAGTCCAGACTGTTTTGTAAAATTGAAACAAAAAGAATTGAATCCCTGCATCTCCTGATAACCTGGAAAGTTAGTTTTTCCTCTGTAATCTCTACAGTAATACATATGCATGTGGCATAGCCACTGTGCATCATATGTTTCTCTGCATACGTAGTAGTATTCCTTTTTTCTGTATAGCCTTACATGCTTTACCAGGGACTGGACAATCTTTTCCTGCAATTGCTTTCTTAAGTTCAAAAGTATCAAATGATTGCTCAAACTTGATAACTAAACTCTAAAAGCCTAATATACACCAAAGCAATGAGTTGTTTCACTTCCTAGGTTCTGTAGAGACCTTGGCATCTGCCTCATGTTGTGGTTTTCTCTTGTGGCTCTGAAGGGAAACTTGACTTTTAGCATTACAGAAAACCTTTATCCACTGTATGGCCTGGCTAATTAGTCACATTTTAAGGCCCGTGGATAATTGTCAGATGAGTAGACATTGGGTTCACAAGTCGGACAGAATGTTCTTGCTAATGTGCCTCAAGGAGAAAGGCAGTGTTTTCCAGCTTCTGTTTATGACTCTTCAATGTAGGAAGCTGCAGGGGGGCTGTTTGTTCTGTTTTAAATTAGACAGTGAAAGATAAAATTACCTAAGTTTAAGGCAAATGTATCACATTTACATAGGGCAGACTGTTCCTGAAGGTGCACTGAAGGCATATGCCTCCAAGGTCCGTAACAGTGCCATGCTCCTCCAGCGGTAACAATACTTGCATTATAAGTGGTCAGCATACATTAACTGTTAATGGAACATAGGTACTAGTTAAAACGGAAATACTCACTGCTCTGTATCTTTTTACAGAAGTGGAAAAGACCAAATGTCAGCATGAACGAGAAGTAGCTCTTGGAAGCGGAGGCACTTTCTTCTCAAGGGAGATAAGAGTTGGTCAGTTCATTCCCCAGTGTGATGACCATGGGAATTACCTACCCACTCAGTGCCATCCTAGCAGTGGATATTGCTGGTGTGTGGATAGGGATGGAAATGAGATTGATGGCACCAGAAGCATACCAGGAGTCCAGCCACCATGTAAGTGCCTGAAGCACTTGTTTCTTGTGGGTGTCTCTCCACCTAAGTGCACTGTCTCCCAAATGTAGGGCTTAGTCATGCCCCAGAGATACAGCACTGACTTGGAGCAATGCAGATCTTGGCTGTCCCAGTGATGATATGCCTCATGCTGCAGCCCTTTGGTAACTCCACCATACACTTTTCCTTCAGCCAGGGAATCTGGACAACTGTGGTGAGCCTCTGAATAAGAAGATGGTTTTCTAACTTCTTCCCTGGCTTGAAACTGTGAGAGGCCTCTGTAGTTTCTACCCTCTGGGAGCTGTGACAAATCTGAATGTGTGGTAACTGACTTGCCTCAGGAAATGAAGGATGTTCCTACCTACATCTTCCTCACTTCAGCTGCAAAATAAGACAGGCTTTTCTAAACATTTGAAGGAAAGAGCTGAACATGAAAAGACCTATTATGTCAATTGCTCCTTCTCTGTCAGCCAAGGGGAAAAAATCAGAAGCTTTCTGCATCTGATTATAGTTATTAGTGTCTGTTTATAGGGCTGTTTCCTTCTAAGAAGTCTGACAGTAATTGTGTCTCTGCAAATAACAAGGAGCCTTATTATGCTGTACAAACTAATTTTTTCCCCATCTGTTTCCTTTTCTATTAACAAGGTCTGAGCACAGCTGCTCCTCCTGTTGTTATTGGGCCCTCTGTTCGACCAGATACAGTACCTTTGCCGCCAGGAACGCACTTGCTTTTTGCCCAAAGCGGTAAAATTGAACATGTCCCACTAGAGGGAAACAATATGAAGAAAAATGGTGCAAAAGCACTCTTGCATATTCCAGTAAGTAACCTACTATACTAAGTCCATGTGTTTTAGAAGATTTGTGACAAAGATGAAAGTGAGAGTGTTGGTCTATGTAATTTGATAATTTAAGTTCCAAACTCAATTTTTACTCTTGATGAAAATTTCAGTATCCCATCACTTTGTTACTGAAAATTCCTGACCTGACTAGTCAAAACACCTGAAACTGAGCTTTAAGGAGTAGCTCATAAGACAAAAATCTAATGTTTGTGATCTCTCATGCCTCCAACAGCTCATCATACACTCACATTTCCATTGGCTTTCTGAGTCTGCTATGAAAGTCTAGGAGACCTACAAAAGCACTATGTGGAGCCCTTTTTTCCCCTCTCTTACTACCTCAAGTTTTTTAAGTCTTAATCTCTTCCTGTTTTCAGTCAATTCTCTGGACTTCTTGGCTACAGATATATAGATACTTTTTTTTCTTTTTTCTTTTTTCTGCTTCTTTTTTGCTTCCTTCTGCAAGTGCAGGCCCAGTGGGTGGTAAATCTTTTCCCCACACTTTTTTACTACTGTCTTGAGAATCTTTTTTCCTTGAAAATAAATTCCTGATGCTGAGAACCTATCTCTTCCATCGCCTGTGATACACACCAGCTCTTCTCACTTCCAGTTTCATCATACTCATTTGTTTTGCCTGAAGCCTGGGATTTCTGTTTTCTTCCAGTGTTACAGTATTTATAATAGATAGCAATACCAGGTAGCATGCTGGCCTCTTTTTTACATTACTGTGAATATTTAGTAGACCAAATCTGACTAAATCACTTACTACAAACTGTGCTGTGATGTACGGGCAAAATCAAGCTTGTGTCTCTTGTATAAAGTGCTGCTGCAATAATGTAAAAATAAAGTAAAATACTGTGTGCAAAATGGAGTAGTTAAGCTGATACAGAGACACGGTTCTGAATCATTGTCAACTAGTGTCATTATTTCTTTGATCTAGCTTAAATGAATTAATTGGAAATATCTTCAGGAAAGAGCTTCCAAGAGATAAGATGCAACTCTTCATTAAAACTTTCAATTAAAATGAAACTTTCAGTCTCTGCTAACAGTGTTGTCTCTGCTTGTGTTGTCTCAGTGTTGTGTATTTGCAAAGTGACAGTGTTTAGCAGCCTAGAGGCATTCAGATTGTTTTGGAACCTTCAGCATTAATGCACGCTGATGAATGCACACATGTGGCTTAATGCATGGGTTTGGACCACCTTTCTAAGACATTGCAAGCTACAAAAGCAGCAAAGGTGATAGATCTGGCTGTCCACATGAAACTATTGTTTTACCCTGAAAGTCTCTTTCATTTGCGTGGAGGAAAGAGTTTCAACTCTAAACTCCAATTCTAGTCCTAACTTCTCCTGCCTGGAAAATTGCATATATATGTTCCTTGTTCCTGAGCATATTCTTCCCAGCAGAATGATTTATGGAGTATTTGTTTAAGCTTTTTTATTTTAAAATCTTACTTTGATAGAACTATTTGAATCAAATGATGCTATGTAGGTAGCACTGCTGAAATGCAGACATTGTGCATGGGTTGATGAATATACAGAATGCAAGTCAGATTTGATAGAAGTCACTATTCTCCTTGAAGAGAAAGAACAAGAGAAAAAAGCAGATGAGGAATAGTACAGTAAAATAACAACGTGAACTTTCTTTAAATGGATATGCAGGTGAAGTTGTAGAAGTGAGACTGACTGCTCAGTGCTAATATCTACAATGCTTCGTTGGAATATGGTAATTGTAAATGTTGTCTGCTAGTTAGAAGGTACTTCTAATTCAAAGTATTTTTCTAAGCTGTTCTACAATGACTGCCACCCAATCGTTTTCTCCGCCTATCCTCCCCATCTCCCACCTTTCCTCAAGATTTTTTTTTTCCAGGCTTGAGACTTAGATCCATAAGCTAGTGCTGCTGGCAAATAATTGTTGTTCAGCATAAGCTGATTTAATTTGCTCGTTGACCAACAGGATAAAGTTGTTATTGGAGTTGCTTATGACTGCACAGACAAGATGGTTTACTGGACAGACATCAGTGGCCCTTCAATCAGCAGAGCTAGCCTGCATGGTGGGGAGCCAACAACCATCATCAAAACAGGTAACAGCACAAAATTCTTCCTCTTGCTACTCTGTAGGAATAGCATTAGTATATTATTATTATATTATTAGTAATATATACTTCCCAGGTGTTGCCTGAGCTGTAGCATTACAAGTTGGTGTTATTTGGATAAACAATAACCAAAAAGTCTGGATAACATAAAATGAAAAAATATCTGTTCCCTATGCACTAGTTCTTCACTGCCTTTCCACTGCTGAGGTAGGCAAGAAATCGGTTCTCTAAATAAGCAGCATGTCAGTGAGGTATTTCTGTCCTTACTCGCAGTTGCAGGATACTGTATCTGTCTAACCATTGAGTGTCTTGTGAACATCACTGGGGACATTTTAAATGAAGGCTGAGGGATTTAAAAGATGAATCAAGCTGCTGTGGTGGTATTAAAGCATATCTCAAGGCACTAATGGCTGCAGGGTTCAGAGCCTCACAGTGTGGGCTTTGGACAGTGTCTCAGCTCCTCACACAAATGTTTAGAGGGTTTCTGTACGCCATTACAGTCCAGGCCTCTGATTGTGATAGTCTTGCTGTGTTTAACAAAAGGGGGGAGGAAACCCCAAAACCAAATTGAAAAAAACCCCAACCACAAACAACCCAAAAAACCCCCAACAACCATCCTTTGGATGCTTTGACACTTCTGGAGAGGAATCGTGAAGCAGGCTTTGAGGTCTTTACTGCTCTCTACCTATGGTAGCAGCCTTAAGGCTGCCACTATAGTGGGACAGCACAGCTAATACTCTCAGGGCAAATCCCCAGGTCATGACATGCCAGATTTTTAAAGCACACTCAAGACCTCACTTTTCTGTGTTGAGGATTGCTTGTGCTACGTTGTGCCCAGCCTAGCAGCCTTTGTGTATTCCACCTCTTTTACAGTCATGTCTTGTCAACCATACTGATCAGAAAGGGTGGTCCAGCATCCTTCCTGAAAAGATCCCATGTCTTTGGCCATGAGGAATGGAACACATAAGTAGTCTAAGCTCAGGCTACTGCATGTTATTCATACTTACAGTGATGCGACGGCTACAAGATGTAAATATGTGAAGAAGAAAGGTTAACGTTGCAACCTAGGTCACGTGCTGGGACAGACTCATTGTTGTGTAATGTATTTGTGGTCTGAAAAGGGGATGATGGATTGTCAGTTTGCTGTTGAATGGGTATCGAATACAATCACAGCTCAAGCTGACTAAGGAGTTGCATTCATGTGTTCACATGAAATATCATCTCTGTGTGTCACTCTTGATTTTTGTAGGTAATCTGCTGGCTAGCTGACATTTGGTTTTATGTAGTCCTTTTCTCCCCTGTTCTCTGCCTCTCAGCTGTCACCTCTGCTGAGGAGGGACTGGTGAGCAGGGAGGATGAAGAGGAGAACCCCTGCTCTCTGTTCCTGGGCTTGGGGACCAAATGGCTGAGAGATAGTTAGAAACTGTTTCAGCTGTGACTTTCCATGCCTCCCACTAAAGCTGTAAAATAAAAGTGAGTAAATCACCATGTTTGGTTCTTGCCCTTGGAGTTGCTCAAGGATTTGAGAATCAGACTAGAGGGTATTGTGGGGTTAGTGTTTTCACAGTTTATGTCCTGTTCTTATACTCT